CTCCTTGCAACATGTCCAAAGTATGCCAGACGAAGCCCCAGAATCCTTGCCTCCAGGGAGCAGCCCAGTTTAAACCTCTCCAGGTTGAATCTGTTTGTTTTCTTGGCAGTCCACGGTACACTCAATACTCTTCTCCAGCACTACAGCTCAAAGTCATCAATTCTCCTTCTATCCTCCCTAGTCATTGTCCAACTCTCTGATGCATAACAAGTGATTGCAAGACCATGGCCTATATCAGACACACCACATTATACTGAATGAAATATCTCAGTCACAAAAGGACAAATACTGCATAGTGCCACTGTTGTAAAACAGGACTGATATCAGGGTTGAGGGAAGACAGAAAGAGGGAATAAATAATGTATACAGCATTGAAACAGATGAGGAAGAGAACTGTTTAAAAGCAATATATGATTAGGTAGTATTGTCATGAGAGGAGTCCAGAACAAAGGCTGCATACTGGAGTGGACTTGAGGGAGGGATTGCATAACAATGAAAAGAGTTTTTATTTTACTTTTCAAAGAGAAGAGCGAATTGGTGGGGGAGGAAGTGGGCAGGGAGAAAAGTGCAACAATGAATGACTGGAAACCCTAAGTCTCTCTAAACTTTCATTAAAATTAATAATAATTTTAAAAAGTCAAAAAGGAAAAAAATAGAGTGACTCCTCTTTGTGCTAAGTACAGGACAATGAAAATATGTTTGGTGTTTTTTTTTTTTAAAATTTTTTAAAAATATGTTTGTGTAAACTCACTGACTCTTCTGTCCTTTCCCCAGACAACCTGGCCGCCGAGCTAGAGGCCAACCTTGGGCTCATTGAAGAGATTTCAGGGTATCTCAAGATCCGCCGCTCCTACGCTCTTGTGTCGCTCGCCTTCTTCCGGAAGTTACGTCTGATTCGAGGAGAGACCCTGGAAGTCGGGTACGTGGGCCCCCATCCGAGTCAGGAGCCGGCATGTCCATGATGCGTTTTGTGCACGAGAAACATTCAGCTGTGACGGGCACAGCATTGATTCAACGCGAGATTACTCGACAACCTGACTCCGTTTCCCGGCCAGTGCCTCTTGTGTGCAGCCACCTCCACTTTCTCAGTACAGAGTTTGATGCTGAGGGGTCTCTAAGATTAAGGCAGACTAGGAGGAAAGGCCTGGCGGCTGACGTGTGAAAGCCGGCCCGTGATAGAGCTGTGGGGCACAGCTGTCCTGGCTGCAGCCCGTGCCAGGCTCGGAGCAGGAGTGGGCACTTTTTCATTTCATTGTGTAGGGGCCACCGTGCGCTGGGCAGCTGGAGCGTAACTCACAATGATAGCAGTTCTGAATAGCCACGTCTCAGAGTCGTGTGTGCCCGCTTTGTTGGATGGCACAGGCCTGGACGATTCCCTCATCCCATCCAGTGCGTACTGAGCAGCCCACTCCTGGTTGGAAAGAAAGGGTCTAATGAAGTCATTGAACTCTTCCAGAACCATCCACGGGTCCCCCTGTAAGCCAAGGAAGTCGCCTGTGCTCAGCCTCACATGCAGAGTTCTAAAGGGACGGGCCCATTGTGAACTCTCCAGCCTTGTTTCCTGCGTTCTCTTGGCTTCTCTGCTCCTCTCTGATGGGCCTCCATTGTACTTTCCTGCTTTCATCCTCCCCGTTTATAAAGCCCATGTCTCATTTTATCACCATTTTACCCTTTCAAGTTGGGTGTAAGCTCAGACCCCCTGTGACCATAAAGATCTCCTCCACTCCCAGCAATGAGCATGTGTCAAATGTGGTAGAAACTAGGACTCTGGGAACACCGAACAAGGTGTCCCCAGACCTGTTCCGCCTTCGTGGAGCTGACGCAGACGAGCGTTCTGGGACCTGACATGTGTGTGTGTTTCCGTAGGAACTACTCCTTCTACGCCTTAGACAACCAGAACCTACGGCAGCTCTGGGACTGGAGCAAACACAACCTCACCATCGCTCAGGGGAAACTCTTCTTTCATTATAACCCCAAACTCTGCTTGTCGGAGATTCACAAGATGGAAGAAGTTTCTGGAACCAAGGGCCGTCAGGAGAGAAACGACATTGCCCTGAAGACCAATGGGGATCAGGCATCCTGTAAGTAGTGCTGACCCGGGCTAGTCCGCACACGGGCCCCATAACGTGGCTGGCCTCTCCTGTGAGGGCACTTCCGCCCCGAAGGACTAGCACGGCTGTGACGAGGGCCGTCTCTGTGACATTCTGAGTGTCGAAGTTGTACATCTAACGTCTGCTTGTTGCACTGACGGTACCTGATGCCGGAAGGTGCAGCGTAAGGTTTATGTGGATGGAGGAATGGATGGATGGATGGATGGATGGATGGATGGATGGATGAACGGATGAAGGAAGGAGTGAGTGAATGGCTGAATGACATCGGCTTATATGTGCATCAGGCCAATTGCTGAGCTGAGAGCTTTAAAACTGGGTAAGTAACTGTCCGTTTGGGTTTTCTGGGATGTAAATGCCAAAGAGGTGTCAGAAGCTCAAATAAGGTATTAGGAGGAGTGTGTGTGAAGTGTGGAGAAGGGGAGGAAATAGGGCCGAGCAGGGAGGCCATCAGGTGGTGTGTGTCCATCCTGTGAGTGGACGGGGAGGAAGGATGGCCAGTCAGGAAGGAGAACCATCGGGCCCCACTAGAATTGAATCTCCCAAGTTAATTCTGGAAGTGAGTATGCATGGCAGAATTGGGCCAAGTGGATATTTGTCTTGAAAATCCTAGTTAACGGTTGCTGGGTGTGCTTGGCCTTGGAATGGATGGCTGTTGCCAGTTCGTTTCCTGGTAAAGAAGTTGTGTGGTGTTGGGGTCCTGGTTACACGGCTAGTTGTGGCATTTGAACTGACACTCAGCGAAGTGGGATGGTCACGTGGATGTGTGGGGACATTCGTGTTGCTGCCTTCTCATATACCTCGTGGGCTCTGTGATCACGGCCTTGGCCTAAAACCCTCTGACACTTACCTCACCAGTGTTCTGTTTCTTTTTCCAGGTGAAAATGAATTACTTAAATTCTCTCACATCCGGACAACATTTGATAAGATTCTGCTCAAATGGGAGCCGTACTGGCCCCCCGACTTCCGAGACCTCCTGGGGTTCATGCTTTTCTACAAAGAGGCGTAAGTATGGGAGGGAGCAGGTGGGTCCTCGGAGCTTTGTCTGCTGTAGGAAGTCATGGCTGCCCCTCCGTCATTGTCCTCTGTCTGGTGGTGTCCTCTGTCACTGTCTGTCTCTTCTGTGTGTCTGTCTGTCGGTGTTTGTCTCACTCTTCGTTATCTCTTTCTCTCTGTCTTATTTTGTCTGTCTCTATTTCCCTCTCTCTGACTCATTTTTCTGTCTCTTTCTCTGTCGCCTTTCCTTTCTTTCGATAGAGATATCTGTCCGTTTTCCCTCCTATTTCTTCCTTTCTCTCATTTGCCTGTCTTTCTCTTATTTTATCTGTGTCTCTTAGTCTGTTTCTTTCTCTCCCTCTTTCTGTCTGTCTCCAATTTCCCATCTCTCTTTCTTTTGCTGTATCTGTCCATCTTAGTCTGTGTTTCTCTCCATCTCATTTTGTCTCTGTCTCACTATGTCTCTCTGTCTCTTTCTCCTCCTCCATTTCTCCACCCTCATCTCTTTCTGCCTCTCTCTCTTTCTGTCTCTCCATCTTAGTCTGTTTATCTCTGTCTCTTTCTTGCTTTTTCTGTCTTTCTCTCCCTGTGTCTCTCTCTGTCTCTCTTTCTCTTTTTGTCTCTTTCTGTAGCTCTCTCATCACTGTCTATTTGTTTCTCTTTCTTTTCCTCTCTTTCTGGATCTCTCTCCTTGTCACGGTCTGTCTCTCTCTCACTCTCTTTTGTCTATCCTTCATGCTGACTAGATGGCATAGATTTCTTCTTACCCCATCACCAGTCAGTGGTATGACTGCGGTTAGAAGTGAATTTCTTTTGGAACACAGATTGGCTGTGGTGCGTGGGAATACTCCTTTCTGCTCCTTGCCTTAGCAGACTGTCTCAGCCAAGGAGCTCAGTTTCCCTGGCTGCTTTGAGAGGACAATGGGGCTGGAGTTTTAAGGAAGGTAGTGAGTGGTCCAGGAGCAAGCAGGCGTTGGTGGTTCAGTGGTACAATCCTTGCCTTCCATGCAGGAGACCTGGGTTCAAATCCCTCCCAGTGCACCTCATACTAATCCACCACCCGCCTGTCAGTGGGGGCTTGAGTATTGCTGAGATGCTGAACAGATCTCAGCAGAACTTCCAAACTGAGACAGACTAGGAAGAAAGGCCTGGTGACCAATTTCTGAAAGTCAGCCAATGAAAACCTTAATGGTTCACAGTCGCCTGATGCACAACAAATTCATGAGGATAGCACGAAACTGGGGTGTTTTGTTCCCTTGTACATGAGGCCACTGTGAGCGGGGACCAACAACAGGAAGCTAGTTGGTGATGTTGTTGTGGTTGTTGATTGCCTTCGAGTCGAGCATGACTCATAGCGACCCTATGAACAAAAGGCCTGAAGCCCCTCTACAGCTATCAGTATTTATCAACATTCATAGAGTTTCTGGAGGCATGTTGTTTAGGAAGTGGATGCCAGTTGGTGATACTAGTTAGATTTATTGATTTATTGAGATTTATCACGTGGCAGGTCATGTGCTGAGAAGCATGGTCTTATTACTGTTGTTGTTGTTGTTGTTGCTATGGGGAAATTGAGTCATTGAGGGTGCCTGCCACTGTCATTGGCCACTCTGGTCATTTCCTTTGTGCCACAAGGTTGAAGGGGTGACCTGACATCTTCTTTAAACCAAACAGTGGTTTTCAACTAGCAAAGAGCCTCCGCCTCAAGCACTCTGTCCTTTCTGGCTCAGCAACGCAGGGTGGCATTACAAGGCCACTCAAAGGCTGGTCAGGAGTCAGACCGGGAAGTGGGTTTATGTTCATGGGGAAGGGATAGCCCAGAAAAGGAGGGGAAAGGATCCGGGTCCCTGAACTGTCTGTGCAGAAGTTGTAGACCAGGTGTATGCTGTGCTGTGTACGTGCCCCAGACAAGAGAAGAGGCCTGAGTGGTTGGCGAGCAGGGTGCAGCCCGGCGGAACCCTGGTCCGTGACCCTCCTCCCACCGTGTGGCCCCTGGAGGGAATGGTGACCACCTTCTCCCGTTTTGTCTCGGAAGGCCCTACCAGAACGTGACGGAGTTCGACGGGCAGGACGCGTGTGGTTCCAACAGCTGGACGGTGGTGGACATCGACCCACCCCAGCGGTCCAATGACCCCAAGTCGCAGGTCCACCCCGGGTGGCTGATGCGGAACCTTAAGCCCTGGACGCAGTACGCCATCTTTGTCAAGACCTTGGTCACCTTCTCCGACGAGCGCAGGACGTACGGGGCCAAGAGTGACATCATCTATGTCCAGACGGATGCCACGAGTAAGTGCCGTGTCGTGCATGCGATCCAGACGCCAGGCTGGCACAGCGACACTGAGGTGACCAGTCAGCCAGGCGTCACCATTGCCACAGGCTGAGCCTCCTGTGAGGTTCCACTTCCAGAAGACGAGGCTGGGTGGCTGGCCTCCTGAGGTGTCCTGCGTGGTGTGGGGGTTAAACCCTCCACTCCTGACCCATCCAGAGGCGCTTCAGGAAGGCCTGGCCCCCTGCCACTGAAGACCCCATGGAGCTGAGTCACAGGGAGGTACAGGAACCCACTTGGTGGCAGCAGGGCTGGGTTTTGGGTTTTATTGGAAGAACTTTTTTAAACATTCACAAAAATAGGAAGAACATAGGGAGCTCTGGTGGCCTAGTGGCAAGAAGCTGCATTGCAATCCCAGAGGTATGCAGTTCAAATCCACCAGATGCTCTCTGGAAAAGGAGGGGCAGTCTCCTCCTGTACCAGTCAGATCTGATTTGATGGTACATACACAGAAAAGAATAAAATTTTAAAAAATAGGAAGAACAATGATCCTATGCAAAGCCCTCACCTGGATTCAGAAATAAAAAAAATTTGGGATTTGTTTCCACTCTAGCAACCAATTTTCCAAGATCCACTTCTTGGTCATATGACTTACACACACACACACACACACACACACACACACACACACACACACAACTTGGTTGTGTTTTTTTATAAGCCTCTGTTCTCTCAAGGCAGTAGCTCTCAGCCAGGGGTGATTCCACCCATAGGGAGACATGCTCTGATGGTGTCTCAAGACATCTGTGGAGGCCAGGGATAGTGCTAAACACCCATCAGTCCCCGGGATGGCCCCGCCCCAGAGAAAGCCTAGACCTAATGCTGATAGTAAGGGACCCTGTGGCACCATGGTTAAAGCACACGCTGCAAATCTGAAGGGCGGTGGTTCAAATCCACCAGTGACTCCATGGGAGAAAGCTATGTACAGGGAAGCCATTCTGATTCCAGAAAATAAAAGCACATGGTGTGAAGAAACTTGGCCCATTGAGGTTGGAAAGAGAAGGAAAAAGATAACCTGAACCAAACCCATTGTTGTCAGATGGTTTAAAGTGATCTTGTAGGACAGAACAGAGCTACCCGTGGCTGCAAATCTTTTTGGGAGCAGACTGGCCTATCTTTCTCTGTGGAGCCACTGTGGTTTCGAACCACCACACTTTGGGTTAATAGCTAAACGCTTAACCACTGCACCTCCAGGGCTCGTGCTTGGCACCCAGAGCTCAATCATCTGCGATATAAACAGCCTGTATGTCATGTGGTGACCTGCTCCCTGATTGGATGGGAACCCCACCTGTCTCCATTTCCCCCAGTGAACATCCTCGCGATTTTAAATAGAGCTGCAGCAAACCTTTCATGATTTTACGTGACAGTGGAGCGAACTTCCTTAGGGTTTCACTTAATGCTACAGCGAACATTCTTGGAGGATTTAGGAGCCTTTCCCCATTTGTGTAAAAGTTTACCAGTCATACTGGTTTTCATTCAATCATTCATACACGTTTTGTTTTATAATGTTAATTATGATTAATTAATGTAGTTATCATAATGTAATTATGATTGATTGAGTGATTGATTGATTGATTGATTAATTAATGTAGTTCAATGGAGCTCTGGTAGCCTGGTGACAAGAAGCTGTGTTGCAATCTTGAAGGCATGCGGTTCAAGGTCACCAGCTGCTCCATGGGAAAAGGTTGGGCAGTCTCCTCCCGTGTGTTCAGCTACCTCTGAAAACCTGCTGGAAGGCCAGCTGTGGTTCCCTCTCTATGATACACAACAACAATAGTGTAATTCATCACAGTGGCTCCTCAAATCCTTACTTAACCTTGCTTTTCCCTTCACTCAGTTTATCTAGTTAATTTTTGCTCCCTTCTTCCTCCGTTCTTGATTCTGAGTGTAAACCTTTCTGTCGCTTTTTATAATATTGTTGTTCGTTGCCGTTGAGTCAGAACCAACTCATAGCTGACCCTCCAGTGAGGTTTTCAGAGGCAGTAAATCCCATGAGAGGAGATTGCTCATTTTTCTTGGGAGCAGCTGGTAGATTTGAACCACCCACTTTTGAATCAGAAGCACAGCTCCATACTCATTGAGCCACCAGAGCTCCTTTTTAAAAAGAAAAAGAAAAATTTCAGTCACGCAGCTCGCTTAGTCAGTAGAGCATGAGACATTTAAAAAAAATACTTTTTTCATTCATGTTATGTTTCATATGATCATTCCTATACATTATGTCTTATAAAATGAATCACCATCGATCTATGTCCACTATTACCCCATCTTTTCAGATCCCCACTGGATCTTTCCTAATTCCTTTACCCTCTCTCCACCCAGCAAATTCTGGGAACCTGTGGTTTCCACCTCTTACTACTCTCAGTCCCCCTGCCCCCTCCTCTGCCCTCTTTGGACTTTGCTACACGTCTTACTAGTTAGCCTTCTGTTTTGACTATAATGGTCTTATGCAGTATTTGCCCTTATATGTCTGAGTTAGATCACTCAGCCTAAATCTCTCCAGTCTCTCCCGTGTTATATACTATTTTTCAAAATCATTGCTCCTGTGTGCTGCAGTACTCTATTGTGTAAATATACCAGTTTCTCAATCCAGTCATTTATTGATAGAGGCCCCCCTTTTTTCACTTTAAAACCCTTCATGTTTATTATACTAAGACACACAGTTTATTTTTCACTTCCCAAGAACACTAAAATAGCACATGGTACAATATAAGAGGAATTGATATACACAATCAATAATCACAGAAGTGTATGTTTTAAACCTGACTTTGAGACTTTAAAAGATTTCCAGATAAGGATGACTCTTAAATGATCTTTTATCAAAGTTATCAACAAACAGTTAAAGGAGTTACTTCAGGGAAAAATCTTAGTGGAAAAGAGACCTCCGCCTCAGACATTGGGAACATTCCAGAATGGAGATTTTTAACTTGCTGTTCTGTGGATTGGGCTAGTCCTCTTTTTTATGAGTGATTTTATACCGTACTTGTCCTTCTGTGCCTGATTAATGCCACTCAGTGCAGCTTGTTCTAGTTTCATCGGCTTGTGTGCCGTCCACACGACCACCCTTGTGCATCTGTTCACATCCTCATGGTCAACCTGTTTTTCTTTGTCTTTGCAGATCCTTCCGTCCCCCAGGACCCCATCTCGGTCTCTAACTCATCATCCCAGATTATTCTGAAGTGGAAGCCTCCCTCCGATCCCAATGGCAACATCACACATTACCTGGTGTTCTGGGAGAAGCAGGAGGAGGACAGCGAGCTGTTTGAGTTGGACTATTGCCTCAAAGGTGAGCGCACGTGGTTGTGCTCCTTCCCCAGGGAACCAGGGAACCATGTCTCTCCTCCTTTCCTGTATGGGGTATGCACACCCACTCACACACAGGCCAACACTCTGTCTCAGATGAAAATACACACACACACACACACACACTTAAACATTTTAACATAAGCACACACTCTGAAGATGCCTATTGGAAACAGACGTCTCCCCTACCGTGGCTCCATCTTCCTCAGGGCTCTTCACCTGCCCCCACACTATCCTCTCCTCACCTTCCCTCTCTCTTTCTCCTCCTTTCTCTCCCTCTTCCACACTGATGTAGCTGGAGCTGAGTTAACCTACATAGGACTTTGGTGCAAAGCTAGAAACGCACATGAGAGTGCAGAGACACTGTTGGCAACGTTTAGGCAGGGCTTGAGCCCCACTTAGACCCCTTTAGTTTGAGGACATAAGCTAGTGGAGGTGGTACTAGAATTCTTAACTCCCATGCGGGAGACCAGGGTTCTAATCCCAGTCAGTGTACCTCACGTGCAGCCATGACCTGCCAGTGGAAGCTTATATGCTCCTAGGATACCAACCAGTCTTCAGCAGAGCTTCCAGACTAACACTAGGGAGAAAGGCCTGGTGATCCACTTCTGGAAGTTGACTGGTGAAACCTCTGTGGGTTATGGCTGTCCAGTCTGTGAATGATCGTGGAGATGGCGGTGCAGGACTGGGCTGTCCCATAGCGCACAGATTGCCCTGAGTTGAGAGCTGCTGACAGCGACAAGTCTGGTGTTATGGATTCAAGAGAGGGGTGACAGGCCTCAGGGACCATGCCAGTGACCCATGAGTGTCCCTCGCTCTGTTGAAAATGGCCAAGAGTTCCTGAGAAAACAGTTCCTTACCGGATATTTCCCTTTCTTCAGTGTTTACTATGGCAGCTCCCCCACAGATAACCCCCACTCCTGGCTTCTTCTATATCTGTTAATAAATAGGAGTCACTGGAAATGCAGCTGCCGACCACAAGATTGGGAGTTCAAACTTAAGCAGAACACACATCAGGAAAGAGGCCTGGCGATCTGCTTCTAAATGGTCCACCTGGAAAACCCAAAGGCAGCTGGTAGTGATAGGCTTGAGAAGTGTTTGTGAGTGTCCCTGGCAGGCTTTCAGAATTTCATGGATACCTGTGTGTCCACGTGGCTGTTCACAGAGAAGAGCCTGGCAGAGTGCAGTGTCCACCCTGGAGGCTCTGCAGGGGCTGGCGTAAGGGGGGCATTTGCTTTGCTCTGCAGACATGGGCACCAGGGAGAGGGGTGCCCAGCCAGCTCCTCACATACAGATCCTTTGTGCATGTTAAGGAATCCTGGTGGCTTAGTGCGCAGCGTGCTGCACTTCTAACTAAAAGATTGGGAGTTCTAATCCACCAGCTGCTTCTTGGGAGGAAGAGTGGGAGGCTCTTTCCATGAAGACAGGCCCCCTAACCTGACAGAGGGCTGCTGTGAGTTGGAAATCGACTTGATGACAGTACGTTGTAGATTTCATTCCTCCCCCCCAATTCCAATTCCGTTGACTCTATTTACATTACTTGTGTCACCCACAACACGTGCATTGATTAAGGTGCCGTGTGCACTTCCTCATTCCCCTCTTCCTCCAGATTATGGGCTCCATGGGGCACAAATGTTGTCTGGGTCTCTTATAGTCCCAGCCCCATGAGGGCACAGCGTCTGATAGTTTCCAGAAGGCCTTGACCTGCCTCCTCTCAGGTGGGACTCCCTGGATCTTCGAGAGGAAAGTTTTTATGTGTTTAGTGCAACTGGAATCTTGCCCCCAGCTCTGCCCCTTGCTGGTTACCACCCCCTGGCCCCTGCCTTGTGAAGACACATGCACCGGGCATCAAGATGCTCCATCAGGTCCCGCTCCACCTCCACCATCGGTCTCCGAGGGGCTTTTGTCTTCCATAGATGTTCATGGATAGATTCTCAGAAATAAGTTGCCAGGCCTTTCTTCCGCATTCCTCTTAGACTCAAAGCTCCACTGACAGCCACTGGCTGTGAACGGGGTGCACTGGGCAGGATAAAACCAAGCTCTCCTGCCTGGAAGGGGAGGATCTGGTCACTGGCTGCCACCGCCCCCTGTGGGTTCTTGAGAACCATCCCCCTGCTCTGTCTGCCCTTAGGGTTGAAGCTGCCCTCTCGGAACTGGTCGCCCCCGTCCGACTCAGAGGACGCTCAGAAACACAACAAGAGCAACCACGAGGATTCGCCTGAGTGCTGCTCCTGCCCCAAGACGGACTCCCAGATCCTGAAGGAGCTGGAGGAGTCCTCCTTCCGCAAGACCTTCGAGGACTACCTGCACAACGTGGTCTTCGTCCCCAGGTGGGGCTCCCACCCACACCGAGGTGTGGTGCCCAGGGGGGAGGTGGGTGTGGTTGGGGAGCACGATGAAACCCCTGAGAGGAGAAGTGAGTGCCTGGGCAGAGAGAGGGATGATTCCGTTCTCCAGGGAGGTTTTCAGAGGGCAGATGACCAGGGACCAAAGACCTCATTCTCAGATCTTTTAAGACCAAAGCATGCTTTTCCCCGTCTCCCTAAATTATTGCCCAGGTCTCAGGATTCCACTGGATTCAGAAATGAACTCAGTTTGCACTGATGGACCCCAAAACCACTGCCATGTCGATTCTGACGCTTGGCCACCCTGCAGGGGTGGCAGCACTGGCTCGTGTGGTCTCTGAGGCTCTGAGCAGATGGCCTTGTCTTTGCCCCACGGGGCAGTTGACCAGTTCAAAACACTGGCCTTGCACTCAGCAGTGGAGCGGTTAGCCACTCTGCCAGCCAGGACTCCTAACGGAGCCTCTTGCCCATCACCTGCTCAGCTGACCACTGAGTCAGATGCGGCGCAGCCGGTTCACACCTCAGCCACGCTGCCTCCTCGTCCTTCAGGGACAGCGGCAGCCTCCAGAGCTGGCAGAGGTCCCAGCTGACACCTGCCCAGTGGTCTGGAGCTTGTGAGAGGACTTGGCTAATCTGCTGGTAGAGTTTGTCGTTGCAAAGGCAGGGGTCTCTCAAACTGGCCCTGCTCACTGAGTCACCAGGAAAGCTGGCTTCACCACCTCTGATGCCACGTGGGTGGTAGATGGTGACACCTCTGCCATCTCCACTCACCTGGGCCGGGCCGGTGGGTACCAGCTTCTCTCTCATATCCTCACTCACCTGGGGCAGGTCAGTGAGTACCATCTCCCCCTCCCGTCTCCATCACCTGGGCCAGGCCAGCTGGTACCAGCCTCTCTCGCTCATCCACACTTATGTGAAGCCAAATGAGTGGGTGGTGGGTATCCACCTCCCATCTCATCTCCACTCACTTAAGGCTGGTCGGTCCATGGGTCCCCTCCCCTCCCCTCCCCTTCCCACTCACCTGGGGCCAGGCCAACAACATATCACACACACTCACCCACATCCTCACTCACCTGGACCCAGGTCAGCAGGCACCGATTCCTTCTCTGTTTCTCAGGTCTGAAAAGCCACTGTAGTGGCTTACTAACTCCAGGGACAGGGCTGTGTTTAATGCAGTGGGAAAAGATAGACACAGAGGACGAGTTGGGGCGAAGGAGGGTCCACACAACGTCCACACCCCCGGGGGACTCACTAATTCTCTCTCCATCTAGGGAGTTCCATGGAGTCTCTAGCTTCCAAGGCCTTTTCTAGCCTCCCCACATGGCCTCTTGGGGGTCAGCACTGACCAAGGAGGTCCCTGCTGGTCTGCTCAGCCTCCATTCATTGGCCTCAGGTGTGGCTGGCTCCTAGGGTCCAGCACTAAAGGCCACACTGCTTATGGCAAGGGGCTCCCCCTGGTAGCACTTAAATTTCATTCTGTTCTTAAGTTTCCTGACAGCAGAGATGTGGGAAAAAGCAGGTTCTTGTATTTCAAACCGCGGATGCTGTGAGTCTGGGTCTGTGAGTCCTTCCTTAGCACGTTTCTCTGCAGGCTCCACCTTCAGGGCCCTCATTTCCAATCACAGATGTGGAGGTGTAGGTGTGATATGCAGGTACTTTATAATCTAATGCTTGTCTCTGCCTTGTCTCTACATACTAGCCTGTGCGAGTGTCTTACCTTCTAATGCAACTGCAACAGAAATACCTCAAGTGGGGGGACTCTTACAAACGGAATTATTTTTCCCCCCTTGATATTCAGGAGGCTGGAAGTCTGAATTCAGGATCTTAGCTCTGGGGAAGGCTTTCTGTCTCTCTGCCCGCTGACTTGTGGGGAAAGGTCCTCGGAACCTCCTTGTATCTTGACATCTGTCTTACCCCGTCTTTTTCATTTCAAAAAAATATCTTAGATTGATTCGGGGGGGAAAGATTGATTTAGAACACGCACTATATGCATCCTGTTCATTGTTGTTATGTGCCATCGAGTCACTTGTGACTCATAGCGACCCTATGTACAACAGCCCTAATCCCTGCTCTGTCCTGTGCCAATCGCACTGTCTCCGACACACTCATCCCGATTACCCCAGTCACTGAATCAATCCACCTCATAGAGGGTCTTCCTCTCTTGCATTGTTTCTCCACCCTCTCAAGAATGATGTCCCTCTCCAAGGACTGGTCCCTCCTTGCAACATGTCCAAAATACGGTAGACAAAGCCTCAGAATCCTTGCCTCCAAGGAGCAACCTGATTTAACCCTCTCCAGGATGAACCTGTTCATTTTCTTAGCAGTCCATGGTATAGTCAATACTCTTTTCCAGCACCACAGCTCAAAGGCATCAATTCTCATTCTGTCCTCCCTAGTTATTGTCCAACTCCCTGATGCATAGCAAGTGATTGCAAAAACCATGGCCTATATCAGGCTCACCTTAGTCTCCAGAGTGACACCATTGCTCTTCAGTACTTTGGAGAAGTCCCTAATAGCAGACTTTCCCATGGCAATGTGTCTTTTAATTTCATGGCTGCTGGTGCCAAGACTGTTGACTGTGGAGCCAAGCAAACTAAAACTGTGAACAATCTCAATCTCTTCACCATCCATCCTGATGCTGCCAGTTGGTCCAGTGGTGAGAATCTTTGTCTTCTTGACATTGAGCCTCAATCCATGTTGAAGGCTGCAGTCCTTGACCCCCTGCTTCATTAAAATAACAAAACTTATTCCCAGACAAGATTGTTGTTGTTGTTGGGTGTTGATGCTGACTCCTAGGTGACCCTCCAGTGGGCTTTGGAGCCTGTGAATTGGCACAAGAGGAGATTGCCTGTCGTCTTCGCAGTGTTGGATTCAAATCTGCAGGGAGGAGTAGCAGTGTGACTCCCTATGGACGTAATCAAAGCAGGAAGCAAACGCACGGCCATGGAGTCAATTCTGACCCTGCAGGACAGGGCAGAACTGCCCCATCGTGTTTCCTGGGCTGTGATCTCGATGAGGCCGGCTGCATTATCGCTCTCCTAAGGAGCAGCTTCTACAATCTCAGGCCCAGAGTTTAGAATTTCCAGCGCATGTTTTGGGAGGGATGCAATTCAATCAATAACGTGGAGCTTTGTTCCAGATCAGTGACCCACAGCTGGGCCCCCTCCCTCCTCTCCACCTTCGCCCACCACTCCACCAGAAGATCAGCTGGTGAGAGGTTGGCAAGTTCAAATACACCAAGAAGCCCCTAGGAAGAAAGGCCTGGCGACCTCCTTCTGCAACCTCCGCCTCTGAGAACCCCACAGAGCGTGTAGCTCTGCTCTGCCACGTACAGGCACCAGGGCTCAGTTTCAGCTCCACAACTGTTGTGCACCCAGAAATGCCGGATACCATTGGCCATTTGCCAAAGCAAATCAAAACCCCAAAAAGGTGTGTATGCTGGAAATCAGAGAAGATTCTAAAGTGTGCCTCTTCCAGGGCCTTCCCGCACGGCTCCCTCAAGTGAAACTGCTTTCCCAGAGCCGTCCACGTGCAGCCCGTCTGCTGTTTGTTTTCGTTCTGACCTTGGGTCCAAAGGGTGCTGTGTGGGTCCACACAGCAACAGAGGCTGATACCTTCCCAAAGCAGAACGCGCCCCACTTGAGTGTTGGCTGGGTCTGCCCTGCTGTTTCAGCTTCATCAGGTTTGAGGCCCAAGGGAAACCTCAGCCGACTAGGTCTGTGGGGAAGGGAGTAGTATTTTTCTCCGGGTTTTTCCCCTTCCTGCTGGGTCCAGCTGCACCTGTTGGCAGAGACGTGGTCCTCCCTTCATCCAGCAATGCTCATAGGCCGTGGTCTGGGGCAGAGCTCTCTGAAGTCAGCATCCTGAGGTCATCCGGGTCAGTCCCACCTGCCCTCAAAGCTGTTGATTTTCTTTTCACAGAACTACCTCTTCAGGCCCTGTCGTGGAGGACCCTAGGTACGACTCGCCTGGGGATGTCCGCCTGGGGTGGACGCCTCAGGGTTGCCAAGGGCTTCTGGGGCTTACTTACTGCATGCAGTGGGGCCGCTCTGCAGGGGCCACGCTTCTCACGAGCTCCCTAAACATCTTCCCTCGGCCCCCAGAGATAAACCTGGGCAGGGGTTTGGGATGGAGCCTTCACGCACACACCCACTGGATGGTAGACTCTGGGGAGCACTGGTTGGGGGACCTCCCAGGTACACCACACGCCCCCCGCATACTCACCCACTGCTCATGGGTCACCACCCGTCGTCAGAGGCACGGATAGCCTGTCTCGCTCTAGCACTCTTATATTATAGTGGGAAAGTCTGTTAGGGAAGAATCATTTTCTTTGAGGTTAACAAGAACAGGTTAAAGGAGGGGGTTAGGGATGTTTCCCTTTGACTGTGTCTTCAATGATGGGATGTTGGCTTTGGGGAGAGGAGAAGCAGCATTCCACATAGGTAATGTGGCAGAGATGAGGAGCCGGGCCAGATCTGGGGCCCCTAGGAGGATGACTGGCCAGGCGGGGGAGGAACCTCAGGCAGAAGGGAAAGGCAGGTTGGGGCCCTGTGAGGGAGTTTCTTCTTTAAGCAGAGCAAGTTTTTTTTTCTGAATTCAGAGATACATGTAGCCTGATCTGACCTCTAGTGGCGACTTGGAATATCTAATGTCAGTCTAGAGACTAAGGTGAGCCTGATACAGGCCATAGTTACTTGCTATGCATCAGAGGGCTGGACAATGATTAGGGACGATAGAAGGAGTGTTGATGCCTTTGAGCTGTGGTGCTGGAGAAGAGTATTGAATATACTATGGACTGCTAGGAAAACAAACAAGCTCGTCCTGGAGAGGGTGAAGCCAAGCTGCTCCTTGGAGGCAAGGATTCTAAAGCTTCATCTGACATACTTTGAGCATGTTGCAAGGAGGGACTGGTCCTTGGAGAGGGGCGCCATGCTTTGGAGGGTGGAGGGACAGCACAGGAGAAATAGACCTAGGATGAGATGGATTGGTTCAGTGACTAGGGTAATGGGGGTAGGCGTGTCAGAGACAATAAGATAGGCACCAGATAGAGCAGGGTTTAGGGCTATTGTACATACGGTCACAGTGACTCAATGGCACATAACAACAACAGCAAAGAGCTCTGGTGGCCTACTGGTAAGAAACTACATTGCAATCCCAAAGGCACATGGTTCGAATCCACCAACTGCTCTACAGGTAAAAAATGGACAGTCTCCTCTCTGCAACTGACAGTCTGAAAACCTGATTCTGACTCCCAGCGACCCTGTAGGACTGCGTGGAACTGCCCCCTGGGGTTTCCTGGACTGCAGTCTTAACGGGAGCAGGTACTGCCACATCTGTCTCCTGCTGGACATCTGGTGGGTTCAAACAACTGACTGTAACTTAGTGGCTGGTGCTTGACCCACTGCACCACCGGGGCACCTGTGGACCCTGGAGGACCACGTAGGGGTGGCCCATGGCATCTCCAACACTGTAATCTTTATAGGAGCAGATCGCTGGGCTTGTCTCCCATGAAATGACTGGTGGGTTTGAACCACTGACCTTTTGATTAGCAGCTGAGTACAGTGCAGTTAAAAAAAAAGTAAATGTTTATTTAAAACATTTAAATAGAAAATTGCACGTCCTGGTGATTTAGAGGCCACCAGTATAAATATGTGCTGAGTCCAAATAAACATAGCAGCGCTATCTTGAAAGATAGTGGGAATCCGGGCATCACGTAACTTAGGGGTGTTGCCAAGGCTGGGTTCTGATTCATGTTCCTAGACGTACATGACCTGCCCACTTAAAGATTTAAAACCCTAAATGTATTAGGATGGGAGGGGAAGATCACTGATAGCTGAGCCTGTGGTGATGGGAGGAAGGCAATGTGGGCTTGGTCAAGCTGACCTAGGGAGACTGACAAAGATGTGTGTTCCTGTACAGAGTTTTCCCCTTGGAAGCCCAGGGGGGAATCTCCAGTCTGCCTTACAGGGTTGCCATGGGTCAGAAGCAACTAAACTGCCGGATTTGGTTTTATTTTTATGGTGATGAGGACAAAGCTTCGTCTCCCATACTTGGGGCATATTGCCAGGAAAGGATTGGAGAGAGGTATCGTGTTCAGAAAGGTAGAAGGTTGGCTAGAGAGAGGACATCACTCCACCAGGTGGCTTGACACAGTGACTGCAGCAATGGGCTCCATGTGTCAGAGAGGATGAGGATGGAACAGGAGAGGATACGGTTCACATCTGTTCACAGGGTCACTATGGGTTATACGCAACTTGACGGCACCTAACAACAGGAAGGAAAGAGCTGTGAGTGGACAGTGATTTAAGTACCATAAGGTGAAAAGTCCAAACCTACCAGCCATTCCCTGGAGGAAAATATCTGCATTCTTGTTCTCCTAAAGATTATGGCCTCATTCTTTCTTATTTGCCATCAAATCGGAATCCGTTCCTAGTTGACCTTTCAGGGGGTTTTCAGAAGCAGGATATCACATAGGAGGAAATTGTGCATCCTTGTTCCTAGGAACAGCTGGTGGATTTGAACAGCCTGCCTTTGGGTTAGCAGCACAACTCCTTACCCACTAGGCCACCAGAGCTCCCTAGATTATGGCTTCGAATGTTTCAATTATCTGATGGAATCATTATGAGTCTGAATCGACTCAGCAACACAGGCTGCTTTGCATGAGGCCAGACGGTTCTGTCCCGTGGAACTATCAGAACATTAACTAACCCAGTGATGCACTGGTTAAAGCTGTGAACCCAAAGGTGGGTGATTTGAAGGGACAGAAAACATGATCTGTCATCCCAGAAGACACCTTAAGGGGACATTTCCTCACTGTCACATAAGGTCACTGGGGGTCAGAATCGACTTGACGAGCCCAGGAACAACAGACTGGTTGACCAAACAGCCGTCACCATAGCTGGACTATGTTGTTGCGTAAATGAGCACTGGATAGGGAAAGCGGCAAAGCTCCATGGAGAAGCAGGCCGAGGGCAGGAAGGGGTGATTACCTGGAGAAACACAGAGAACTCACGCAGGGAAGGAACACTCTGGCCCAGCAGTGCAGGAGGTTTGGGAGAAACACATGGCATTGTTTTATTTATTTAGTTCGCTTTAAAATGTTTATTTTATATTGGTTTGCTTACAAAATTCATATGCATTTGTGTTTCACAATATCTTTCATTCACTTTGTGTTTCAAATGGTCATTCCCATTCATTATGTTTTACAAAATTCATCACCATGGGACAATGCCCACCATTACCCTGTCTTTCCAGATCCCCACCAGATCTTTCCCATTTCCTTTACCCCT